TGTTCAAATAAAAGAATCGCCATTATCAGGTGGGGCAGGCAGGGTAAGCAGTAATTTATACCTTGAGTTATGCAATAGAAAAGTGAAGACATGTCAACTACCAAAGAGATCATGAATGAATGAGAAAGTGAGAACATTGTATATATGGAGGAGTTTAATTCTCTCAGAAGAAGTAACATTGTATTATGGGTCAATGGCATTGAGTTTAAAATATGAAGTGTCCAATTCTCCATAAACCCCATACTCATTTATTAAGTTTCTGAATCTATTCGCTTAGGAAATGATGGCTTCTGCTTCTGGCTCTTTCTTCTTTGCTCCTCCTCTTTAATAAGTTTTGTATTCCATTATTTATCAGGAATTCGGTGAAGCATCTTTTACTTCTCAATCTTTCTTTATTCGTTTTCTTAATAAATGTCTTCCTTTGGCATTATTGTTGTCTCGTTGTCTTCACATCTCTCTGTGGGATATGGATCCCATACTGTCATATTGTGCAGTGTTCAAGTACAGTGTAAAATCTGGTTAAAAAAAGAAGACGAAGAATAACTGCAGTGTAAGCACTTTATGATATGCATGCCTGCATGCGCGTGTCCGTATTGGTTATGATAGTTTTCTCTTCTTTCTAATAGGCTGCACTTGAACACTACACAAAAAAAGCACTTTCGGAGATCCGAATCCTTCTTCATGATGTTATTTTCCAGGAGGCCGATTTGCTAGACTTTATTTTTTTAATATATATCTTTGCAAGTTCTTTGATAAAACTAGATATTAAACCCGTGCAATGCATGGGACATTAATTTTTTTTCCTTAATTTAAAGAAAATGAGAGATAGAATGAAAGAGATATTTTAATTATTTCAAAAAAAAAATACTGATAGTGTTAAAAAATTTTAAATGATTTTTTAAATTTGCATTTTATCTTTTCTTATAATTAATGAGTTTAAATAAAGATAATATATAAAAAATGTGATTAATACCCATTAAGTGTCTTATATTAAGGACCAAAAAATCTTCTAGAAGGAGCCCTATATAGAGATTAGAGAGTGTAAAATAAGGATATAATTAAAAAAATATGTAAAATATATCCAATGTTTTAATTCTTAGACCAAAAAACTTTTAAAAAATAACATATATTATGGTTGGAGAGCAGTATAAATTAAAAATTTTGCCTATTCTTTTGTACTATATCCCCCCCCACACAGGCCACATCCCATATATTTTTAATGTAGATCCCAAACTCCCACCTCTTTAACTATATAAATTATTAGGTAAAGATTATAAAATTACCATGTCTCAATTAAAAATATATTAACAAAATTATATATAAATTTCATCCCAATGATTAGCAATGCTGATAAGATGATTAAAAATGCCTTTTCATCTCTTTTGTTAAAAAATATCAAAGAAACATTTATGGTACTCAGTTTTTTATCCTTTGTGGAACATAATCTCCTGCCCTAAACTTCTATTTTGGGGCATGCCAAACTAAAGAACGGAGCATCAAGTGATCCTTTTTTATCCAGAACAGAATCTTGCATTACAATTCTTGCCATGTTTTCTTCTTTTCTCTTTCTCGCATAAGATTCTCACACAAAGATAAACAGATGCTCACCGTCATACACAATATTACAAAGTTTAAGGATGACACATGTCTAACCCAAAACCACATTAATTGCTAAGATTTGGCCAGATTTAGCTCCAATACTTCCATGTCCAAAGGACCATGGTGCACTCAGCAATGTCTCGTACTATGGGTTTTTTCTTCTAAGGCTCGGGAAATTTTAATAATATTAATTGAAGAGAATCTCAACCCAAAAAGAAAAATTATTGTTCTTCACATATACAGGAAGAAGGCGAGAGATATCATATAATGTCCAAAAGTAACGAGCTTACTTCTGCTTGTTGTCAGTCTCAGTTTCTGACAATTCAATATTTACAAACATGTCACTACAGAATCTGACGCTCTTTGCCCACTGCAGTTAACATCCTCTACAGCTTCAACCTTTAAAGGATCTAAATCCGCAAATAACCAACTCTGACACAAGATGATTTGATGACACAAGGACACCAGAGTTTATCATTTGTTCACCTAAATCTAAAGATACTATCAACATATTTATCAGAATGCAAATTCCTCAGGTAGCCTCGGATACTTCTCTGATAGAAATGCCTTGTACTTCCTTTTAAGATCTCCACCTGAAAAGAGGTACCCGATACATTATTCAGGACGAAATGTGTTTCCAGTCATATACAAAACATAGGTCTCTAGCTTCTAAGAAAAAAGCAAATGCATATAAGGGCAAGGGAAGAGACAAGCAGCTACCTTTAGCATAGAATGGCGGGACATCTTTAGAAAGAGTTGATTCTACCAGCTTCACAAAATCTTATACCTGCGAAATCACCAAAAGATAATGAGAATTCTTGAAGTAGAGATCATTCTTAACCTAGAATGAACATCATGGAAGAAGAAAGGTCATAGGGGATTGAATGTCCTGGCTAGCAAAATAATTCAAAAGGATGTCCCAGAATTTATTATCACTTGATTTAAATTTCGCTGCACTGAAGCTTTCCAGCTTTAAGAAAACAATGTTCTTCATGCTCTATTATTTTTCAAGTTTTTTCAGTGCCAACAAGGTGTTTCCAATCCAGGTTTTCTTAGTGAACCAAACAGCTTAAAATTTCATCTCTGCAGTCCAAATAAATTATAAGGAGGACTCTAGTCGAAACATGGTAGCTATATTTGGCCAATGATTGTAAATATCTATTTTTTGGAAAAAAAAAAAGGTCCGAAACTGAAGGTGGTTAGTCTAATATATCAAAAACCAGAACTCTTACACCATGTAATCAATTTAGTTGCGCTATAACTGCAATAGAATGAGATTCAGAAAAGGATGCCTCAAAAAGGAAAAAATCCCTCATGCACATTATCTCCTAGGGAGCTGGACTGCCTCATATTTAATAAGTGAATCCATAAGGATAAGGTTATGTTTGAGTTAAGGAGAATAGAGAAGACAAGTATTCATCCTCTTTATATTTCCTTGAGAAGCTAATATTTTGAAATGAAATAAACTAGTCATGTCTTTGTAAGGAAAAACAAATTGAAATTTGTTTTGAAATAGAAAAAAGGACTGACAAAACAGAAGAAAGAAAGAAAGAAAAAGGCAGCAGAGTGCTGATCGGAATGCATTAATCAATTCGTTATTTTTCTTAATTGGCAGACAGCGTCTATAATACAGTGATCATGATTATGTTTCAGTATATTGATATTCGTGATATAAAAGCTCTGGTCTCTAGATGTTTCAATACTTACCAGAAAGAGTCTCTTTCCCCCTTTGTTGATATTAATCAGGTAGGCAGAGATTTGATTGTCTTTCAACTGTAGGATAGAATATATATAAACAATGAAAAATAGGCAGATGGTAGATAAGTAAAAAAGCAACAACTTATTTAAGCCAGAAATATTTATGCATAAAATAGAAAGGAGAGAGAGGATCAGTTTATGACCTTGGCTAGAAGGGCCTTTGCAAGCTCCAGTGGATCAATACATGAAGGAGCGTGGTTGAATGAAGGCACGAAGTTCCCATTTTGATAACGGCTAGAAAGTGAGAAGCTGCTTGACCAGGAGAGAGCTTTGAAATAGAAGGGATACACATTCAGACTGCTTCAATAGATAAAACACAGGTCAAGAAACAGAGGGAACTAAAAATAACATGAACAAGAGCAATACACTGAACTAAATTATTCATCAGTTCAAGTGTGCCAATTGACACAATTTCAGTTCCTGGAAAAGAATAAATAATATTAAGTATATAGAAGTGAGTGCAGTCATGGGCCACAAAACATTTATGCATGAAAAACATTGTACAAAACATAACCAGTAGCATCTCATCGCATGCATTCCACCATCAAGGTTAGATTACCTATCAGAAGAAACAAGAACAATAGCAGCAGGCAATTTAAATATATTAGATCCACCAGTATTTCCAGTCTGAAACAAAGGTGCAACGCTCTGGGAGAAAGAATTATGCCAGCATCAGTAGAAACCAAAAAGTTTGCACAGCTTTGAATTGTATCTTCTGCTGCAAATAGTACAAAAACAGAATCTCCAGATACTAGGATCCTGAAATTTGAACCATCCAATTATTAAAGAAAAAAAAAATACTTTGTTGAGATTGTCATAAGTCACCAAACAATTACCTTCCCCGTAGAGGAATGCCTCCTCTTGCAGATATCACGGGTTCAGACAAAGCAGATAGTGCTTTCTTGATCGTACTGGCATCTGAGAAAGCTTTATGACATAAAACTAGGGATGATCTTTCAATATCAGCAGCCACAAATCCATTATTTGACTGATATTCCACACTAATAGCCTTCATCAAAGAAGAACTGCAAAGTCAAAATCAATCATCTGGCCATAGAATAATGTCCCAAATAAAGGATTCAGCAACGAAAAGGTAAAAACCATGCCCAGCTTCCTGTGATAGAACTCCATCAAAAGCAGTCCCATCTCATGAACCATTTCAGATGCACCATAACATTCAAGAATGACTGCGTCAATGATTTCATAGCAGTTTTGATTTGGAACTTTATTCTCCTAAAATGGTGGGGCCTAGCTGCAGCTTCTGATTAGAGAGTAAAAAAATTTCTCTTCTTGAAAGTAATTCACCAGGCCCACTAAAGCATGCATCAAATTAGGCCATCAAATCATTGGTGGGGGAAAAAAATAGCATTAATCAATTTAACCATATTATTTCTGTCCTTATTTTAATTTTAGAGTCAAAAATGTTAAGTCAAGTCTTGAGTATATCAGAAATGGTAAGCCATCAGTCTCAAAGATCTCACCTTATGATCAGTTTTAGCGGACTAGTTTGATTTCAATTTAGTTTTTCAAAAGCTTGGTTTAGAATTAAGAAATCCTGCCTGGGCCAGGGTCAGCAAACTAGCTTTTCAAAACCTTGATGTAGAATATAGTTTCTCATTTTTTTTATTACATAGGGAAAGCTAAATGCCTAAAATAGTTAGTGGAATCAAATCCATGACCTTCCATCAACAAGAGTGAGCTTCACCACTAGGCTATAAGGCAATTGGCAGTTTCTCATATTGAGTTGAGATTCTTTCTAGGATAATGAGAGCAAATTTGATCGTTAAGAGCCAGCAGACTAGTTATTTTTTGGACGTATTAACCATGCATAAGATGCTCTTGAAAAAGGACTAGGGTTCTAACTTTTCAGCTAACTCGTGAACAATACAACAATATGGGCCATAACATCATTTTAGAATAATCTCCAAATTTTATATGGCAATATATTAATCTTGTGAAAAAGGAAAAGCGGAAAACCAACAAAGTAATCCAATCAACTATGCCTGACTCCCAATAGTTTCTTTCTCTTTTCTTTTCTTTTTTGGGTGAAAGAATCCCAAAAGTTGTTGTATCAACAAAGTAAATCATTGAACAAATCTCGTAAGCATAATTGAATGAATTGACAAAATATTAACGTTTTCCAATTGCAGTATTGAAGACCTATCTTGAACTATTAACTCATACATGTCATTTGCACACAAGTCATATCCTCCTTCAATTCCAAAGCCAAAAAATTTTCCCAGTCTCCTTTCAACCCCTTTATCCTCTCTTGATTTAACTTTCTCATATTTATTAGTATATTCTACATCGTTACACATTTTAAGCAAACTTGTCAGAGATTTGACAGAATGAAAATATACACATAAAAAATTGTAAACAGCTCCACCCCCTCCCCCGTTCCAAAAATAACAGAGTTAGGCAGTAACCTGGGGGCGAGCCTACAATCAACATGAAAGTTGAGGCAACCACCAAAAGCTCCTCCATGCTAAGTTGAAAATTTACTAAATGCTAATCAGCATATGAAACATCACTTTCTGAAGACTAAAAATATATAGTCTGAATATCTTGCATGTGTCATAGATGATAAAAAATGCAGAAAATACCTTATAGATGTAGCTACATAAACAGTCAATGGACAAGTATCATGCGAAATTGATCGAGCATTTGTCTTACAGAGAAGATTTGAAAGTGATAGCATTGCTGAAGGACTATCACTTATCACCCGAACCTTTGCATCACAATTTGGCAATGAGCCAATAGCTCCATCATGAACAAATATATTCGGGACAGATGACAGGTGATTTGTTACCTGACATAAATAATTTAATAAACAAGAAATTAAATTTCATGCAAGAGTTCTTTGAACAAATAAACTACTCTGCTTCTTCATGAATGCCAACAATATCCCCACCATGAAAATATCACTTGCCTGAGAAAAAAAAAATACAATTTAACCTGTTTTGTTAATACACCAACAAGAACCAATAGGATAAATTAGATGAGCTTAGAAAGATGTTTTCAGTCATGACTATAAGCTAAAGGGGCAATCTAGTATTTTCCTCATATGCCAGGTTGCTTTATGTTATTTATCTAGCTAGCTGTACATGTATATTTTATGCATGTGTCGAATACCTGTATTCTTTGTGGAGTCTGTTAATAACAGGTGGCACCTTCATATAGAATGAGCTTTTCATATAGCTCATAGTGATTAAGTATTAATACAAGCATTCACTTCTCTGTCCCTCTCTTTCGTGATGCACTAGGTTCTATCTAACAGGACTGCTGGGAAGAGAATTTACCTGCTGTGAAATTCTTCACAGATATGCCAAGAGCATTGATAGTGACACTAACAGTTATTGAAGGGAATATGTGGATGTTTTCCTACTCCATTATAACCTTGATTATGGGGGCAAGGGGAAAATTTGTAGGGCCCACACACTGTTTATCAATTTATCTTTTTGATTTGCTCATCTTCCAATTTTACTTAGTACCCAAACAGGGGAAAGGAAAGTCTTCTCTCCCCCCATTTCTCTGACATAATTCCCATTTCACATCTCAAAAAATCCTAAGCGTGACATAAATTTATTGAAATACTTAAACACAAAACATAACATGAACAAAATATTATAGCAGAAAAAAAAATATGCGTGTGTTTGTGTGCAAGAAATATCTGAATGTTTCCCCAAGTTTACATCATACCAGTTTAAGAAGCTTGCCAAATTGTGCCTTTGAAATTTTTGACGCTTCACCAATAACACTTCCTCTCACATGTAACGGGAATCCAGATAAGGGTTCTAATAGATAAATGCAAACAACAAGTTAGATTATAATGTGTAGGAAAGAAGTAAATAAGATCAGTAAGGAATAAGTTTCATCTTACCAGCAACGACTGCACCATGTTGCTTTAGTTCAGATGGGTTCAAGTTTGGTAAAGCTTTTCCCATTACAATTACACCTTTCATAGCCAGAGCCGAGTTAAGGCCACTAGAAAATCCTGCGTTTTCCCTGTTTAAAAGAACCATAAGAAGAATCAAGAATTTTACACTAAAACTTGAGAATATAAGAGAAGTCCCTTCTGATTTGAGTGAGATATTTTATTCCTGAATTTCTTTCATGGTTTAAAGTGATTTACTACCTTACAAATTTTCATATAGTTTTTCTTAGACAGAAGTAAAGATATTCATCTCAGTTATTTGATATTAATATATAGTTACTTTGGCTTATTAACAGATCAAGTTATGGGCAACAATTATAAACTCGAAGGTACAATATGAAACCATAATTTCCCAGAAGTAAAAGCTTCTAAACAGCAATGCAGATCCATATGAGGTGAACTTCTAGAGTAGGCTTCACTGATGGATTGTATACAAGTAATGCTGTCTTGAAAAGCTTGACAGCAAGCATTTGCAGCCACTTTATCATTGACAGCCCCCCCCCCCAAACTAGGTTATATCTTTGTGCATAGCTGAATGTCAACTACTTGCTTGAATTTCCAAGCTGTGCCAGAATTAAAGAAAATGATAATTAAATGATTTTTTTGCCACTAATATATTTTTTTTTATCCAAAGGAAAGCTATTAATTGTATTCATAGCAAAAATGTAACTGTTAAGCAAGAAGGCTGAACACACCAAAAGCAGGTCCACCAGCCCAACGATGACAATATGTACAAGCGTTGTATGCATGTCAAACACAATACATTTCTGTTTTGAATTATTGATGCTTCATAGCTTTCCATTTCAGCACTTGAAAGTTGAAACAGATTGAAGATCCACAGAAAATATCGAAAAGGTAAAATTAAAACCTTGTGGAAGTGTCTCTTTCTGCTTCATCCTCAGCTTTTGGTGCTGACACTGCATTCTGCAAAAAACGCAACAATTTAGATATTGTAATCCTCAAGCATGTTTGCAGGAAGAAGAGGTGATGGATAAAAGATTTATAGATTTTACTCTACAAGACTACCGGAGCAATGAAATTTAGGACTGTGAACACTTTGTGGGATTCTAGTCAGGAAGCCACAATAGTTGTTTGGAGGGTTCGTAGAAGCAGAAACATTACTGAACATTGATCATCACTAATAAGTAGTTTGTTTGATGTGAACAGATAAAAGTCTGTAGATCGGTGTTGAGTCATTGTTGAGCAAAATGTGGAGGGGATTTGGCAAATTAGGGGCAGTTAAGATCTGAACCTCTGGCGAATCAAAAAGGCTCTTAAAATTCCTAAGTTAGCATGAAAAAGTGAAGTTAAAACCAGGATTCAACATCAACAAGTAAACAAATAACAGCATATAAAAATTCGGCATTTAAAGCTCCAAAGAGAAAACTCAAGAACATGAAATGCCCATAAAAAGAAAAGGCACAAAAATGAACACTTGCGATGACAGGGAAATGCACATATACGATGTGAGAAAGAACAGAGTAACTGACCCGCCGGTACAAGAGCAAGAAAGGGAGAAAAGGACTTGAACTTGAGGAGCGAGTAAATTGGGTTTGGAGTCGATTCAGAAGAAGGGTCCTCATTTGTAACAACTCTTGGTGGCTTTTCGGTTTCAGGGATTAGCAGCATGAATACATATGTGTCCCGCGAAACCCAAGGCGCGCAGAACAAGTGCACTTATGAGCCAAAAATCCTATTTTTTCCAATCTTGCTTCCAAGTCCACAACCACAAGTCGCACTTCCAAATCCATTTTTTCCAATCAATTCATGTGTGAGAAGCGTATAAAAGCCAGAACTGGAAAATCAAAATGAGCAGCAATTATGGTGGAAGTAAACTACTTTGCAAGAGTATAAGACTAATTCATATGATCAGTCACAAATAATGCATAGAAGGCGCACGAGATTTTTACTCATGACTTTCTGGATTGTATAAAGAAGAGACTGAAGTGAGAATAATGATACCAGAATTGTAGAATATTAAAGAACAAAACCAATTTAGTGCCAGAATTTCACATAAATATCCACCAGGAATGGGATATAGTGAAAGGGTTATTCTCTCACAGCTTGATTCACAGGTTTCGAATGCTAATGTCCCATTTAGTGACTGGAATAGTACTGCTTCAAACAGGATGATCACTCGGCGACTAAAATAAAAAACAAATTTATACTAATATTTTATATTATGATAAACTACATATTTAGTCTTTTAATTTTACATAAAATTTCATTTTGATCGCATAATCTTTTTGATTATTAAAGGAAATCCAAATAAAAAACAACAAAAGCAAAAGAGATAAACACAAACTTAACCAGAGTCAACTTCCGTGATCAAATTCCTTACCTCTTCAACTTTGATCTTTTAATTTTGCAAATTTTTGCCAATAAAACTAATAGTGGCAGAAAAAAAAATTTACATTAAATATTTAAATATTGATAAAATACTTTTAAATATTGACAAATTAAATTTAATTTTTTAAAAATAATGATAATTAACATAAAAAATAATCATTTTACACTAAAAATGTTAGACTGAAAAATATTTTATAAAATGCAGGGATTAAATTAAAATATTTTATAAAATTAGAGGACCAAACGAATACTTTAGATTTACATAGTTGTCAAACTATATTAAAGAAAACCCTGATAAAGACTTTTTACCTATGCCTACTAGAATATATGAAAAGTTAAATGTAAGAAAATCTATTTTAAAAATGACATGCTAGATAATGGCATTGCTTTCTCTTGCACTTCATAGATAATCAATAACCCAAAGCTTCAATCTAAAATTAGCCCTCAAAGCAAACAAAACACCATATATGAAGCTAAATGGAGTTCACTAAATCTTGGGTGGATTAGACTTGCAAGTGATAACTTTGTCAACTTTAATGGTGATGCTATTTGTGAAAGCATAATTAGAGGCAACGAGGATAATTGGATTAAGAGATTTTCTAAAAATCTTGATTATCATCCTGACACAATTGCTAAGCTTGTATGGATTTTGAAAGGTCTTGGTATTTATTGGAATGCTAAGATTTTGAAAATCAATCTCTACTCAAATTCTATAGATATTATCACTTATTAAATGCAACTACTCTAAAAGTTATTCACTCTCAATTACTATCAAGAAAATCAAATATCTCATCATAAAGGATTGAGTGATCATTTTTAACCATATTTATAGATAAGTAAATAAATATATTAATGTATTGGCTCACAAGATTTTAAATGATAATTTTGATAATACAATTTTCAACAGCCATCCTTTGATTGTAAATACTTTATAGTTTTAAATATGACTTGATCATTATTTCTTTATTTAGTTTTTCCATGACCTTGTATAATATATATATATATATATATATATTGAATATGAGTGTGTGAAATTCTATCTAAAACTATGCCACCGTTTACATCTAACGAAACTTCAAGAAATGAATCACTCTCTACTACTATGTAAATAATGTGGCCAGTTGCTACCTTGATTCTATACTTGCCAAAGGATATTTTATCGATATTAAAAACTAAACCAATCATTAAATAAGATAAGACACTAATTATATGGTTAATAATTAAAATTATAATCAAATTATAATTAAATAAGTTATAAATAAAAATTTTATTAAATTGATCAAGATATCGATTTAATAATTTAGTGGTTCAATTGGGTGAGTTGACTAAGTTTTCATATTATAAATTTTATAGGCAATAATATGTGATGATATAAGAATAGACAAAGTAGAAGTAGTTATGATGCAATGCTTGAATTTGATGGACAAATTGGAGGTTTGGACTAGAGATGAAATGATGGGTGAAGAAGATAATCCAAGGGCTTTGAATAACAGTAATTACAGAAAGGGTCAAAAAGTTTTGAATAATAGTCATCGGAAGAATGACATTCAAGGTCCTTTTAATAAATTTTATTACAATTAAGACTCATCAATTTTATATAAAATATTATATTATCAAAACACATATATATTATTATTAAAAATTAAATCTTAACTTATTAAACTTTAAAAAAAATTCTAACAAAATATGAGATTTGACTTTTAATGACAACATATATATATTTTCATAAAATAATGTCCTATGTAAAATTAATGAACCCTTATTTCAATAAATTTTTTTGAGAATACCTTAAATATCATCCTCCTAACCATGCAAGTAAATTTTGTCGAGGCCAAAATGTTCTTGGGAGAGAGATCTTCAATACAACTACATGTAAACGCCCGTTTTGAACTAGAAATCTCTTCCATATGAAAATGGCAGTGATGCTTTCTAATTTTATACATCAAAATTACGTCAGAGTAGTATTTTATAACACATTATTTCACAAAATTAATTTTATACGACGAGTTAAAATAATTTTTTTTAACTTTGTTATTAAATTTTATTTTATTAATGCATAAAAATTAAGAGGTAATGAGTTGAGAGGTTACTTCAATTTAGACAAAATTTTATTATTGGTTCTCAAAATATAATTTAAAAACTCAAATAAATATTTTACAATGTAAAAATAAAATAAAGTACATAATATGTATAATATATCATTAATTAATTATTTTAATATTTCTAGTTTTATAATAAATATACAAAATTTTTTGCACATTTTCCACTAGTTTCTAATGTAACAATATATACATAAAATAATATAATTCAACAACATGATTTAAAATGTTAAATATACTAAAAAGAATTCTAATTGGTTCACATCAGTCCCGGTTCATCAATTCGAGTCACCAATTTTTCCTTTCCCGGTTCATCAATTCTTTTATCCAGCCAACTAGAACTGGTTCCCCATTTTACCATGACAGAAATAGTTAAATACCATCATACCAGTTGAACTATTAAACCTTATTTATGACCGTCTAATCACTAATTTGATTACAACTTTAATTATTAATATTTGAAGCAGTGCCAATGGATCTGATCCTATCTTCACGTTGATGACATTCTTCCTGCGTGACCCTCTCATGGTCCCACCCTATTTTAATAACTTGCCTCGGAAATTAATAGATTAGACACTGACTTGTCGCAGAAATTAATGTAAGAAAAAAAACCAACATAACCATTCAAAACAAATCTAGATCTGAAAAAATTACAATAGAAGAGCAAAATCTAGTGCTGTAAACAAAAAAAAGTAGAACAGAAATCGAACAGAAGCAGCTGCACTTGGATTTCGTGGATCTTGATTTGTTGACGCTATTTTCACCACTGCACTTCCAAGAGAAACCAGAACAGCTTCATGACAAGTCCAAACACACGAGAGATCTGATATAACTTGAGAGAAGTCCAAACAAGTTAGCACAAACATTCAGATCTGATAACTTCTTAAGCCAACAATAACAGATTCCGAAATAGATCTGATAACTTTCTAAGAAATAATAACAGATCCCTAACTCAGAAACAAAAATAAGAGATTCCGAAACAGAGTTGCGCAGTAGAAAAGACAGATCAAACAACTCAAAACTAAGTAAGATGCAAAAGTATTTATATAATATATATACACCTCACCTCAAGAAGAAGTTGCAGACCCTGACAGGTGTGATGATCGATTGGAGAGAATACGAAGGGAAAAATCAAGGGCATGGGAGGCGTAGGAAAAAAATATTAGTGTATGCATGTGTGCTTAAAACACGCACACAGATAATTGCTCTATTTTTTTCCCAAGCTCCCACGCCTATGAGATTTCCCATATTGAAGCAAAGATCTGTAAACCTAAAGAACGGAAGATGGATGATACAAGGGAGAGAAAGGTGTAGTCATATAGGCATGGGGACAAAACTCGATAGTTTTGATTTTGAGAGACGAAAAGGGATTGACGGCTAGTGTGTAAGCCAAAGAAGAGGAAGAAAGTGGGGAATAAATAGGTAGTGTTGAGGGTTTCACTTTGGGCCTTCTTGCTTATTTTATATTCGCTTTTATGTTTTGTTTGGGCTTTGGCCCATTTGTTGAACAATTATCTATCGTCGTGAATAAATAAGATGAGCTGGAATGGGCTGTAGAGCTCAGTTTTTTTTTTTTTTTTTCCTAAAGAGATGAGTCTTTAGAATAAGAACTTTACCCTTCTCTCCTCTCAATGTCCATTCGAACACGTAACATGTGGGAGGACACAAACCTCAATACAACATGACACCCGAATGTTGGCATTTGGAAAAGAAGCTGATGTTTGCAAGCCATGCCTCTATTAATGTTTTTAAATTAAAAATACATTTTATCAATATATTAGTACATATATATATATATATATTTTAGAACCAACTGCAATTAGAGCTAATGAAATGAGCTAATTTTTTATACCTAATGAACTAAGATTCAAATTCTCCTAGAAGGATGTCCACATTTAATGCTCTCCTCCAAGAGGAGAATATATGAGGGGGAAAAATATTGATTTCTATAATTTTGTCAAGTTTTATTTTTCATCTTTATAATTTACCTTCAATCCTTATAGTTCTTATAATTTAATATCATCAGAGACTTGAGAAATAAATATCACCCAATGTCATTGAAATTGTAAAGATTGAAAATACTAAAAGTAAAACCCGATAAAATTATAAAGACTAATAATTATATTTTAAAAATAATAATAAAACACTTTACCTTAAAAAATATAGATTATTAATTATTTCTTTTAATTTTATCTTTTTGCAATTATTAATAAGTAAAGTAAAAAAAGTATATTCTAACCAAAAAAGAGTAAAAAATTATATATTAGAGAAAGTGTTTTTTAAAATGACATATTTAGTAAAGATAAACTAAAATTTCTTTATTTTTACATAACAACAACTACTTAACTATCTCTCTTGATTTTATTGAGGTAATCAGAAATAACTTACATATAAGGCATGAGAGAATATTTTCATTCAAAAATTATGAAGCATTCTTGGACACTTGTGTATATGGGAGCCTTTCTTGTACAAAACATTTTTAGAGAGTGTGTTTGGTTTTTCATTTGTTAAAAATTCATTTGGTAAAAATTAATTTTTATAACAAAATTTGTATTTGGATACTTTTTTTAAGTCAATTTGATAAATTAAAAATTATTTAGATTAATGATAATCTGTGATTTTAAAATATGCTTGTAAATATATAATGACCAAAAGGACATTAATTTATAATAAT